AAATGCGTGTTAATAGATGTGATAGAGCCCAATTTTAGAGGTAACATATGAAGTAAAAAAAACATCTTATAATGTGATATGCGATATGTTCCAACATTGGGGGGCGACACATATGAAATAAAAACCATCATCTTATAATGTGATGTGCGATATGTTCCAACATTGGGGGGGCGACACATATGAAATAAAAACCATCATCTTATAATGTGATGTGCGATATGTTCCAACATTGGGGGGCGACACATATGAAATAAAAACCATCATCTTATAATGTGATGTGCGATATGTTCCAACATTGGGGGGCGACACATATGAAATAAAAACCATCATCTTATAATGTGATGTGCGATATGTTCCAACATTGGGGGGCGACACATATGAAATAAAAACCATCATCTTATAATGTGATGTGCGATATGTTCCAACATTGGGGGGCGACACATATGAAATAAAAACCATCATCTTATAATGTGATGTGTGATAGGGCCCAATATTAGGAGGCGACACATATAAAACCATCATCTTATAATGTGATGTTTTACCAGATTGTGATGTTTTATCGCTGCATCACACCGTGGATATTTTTAATCGGCGCCACTGATTTCACTAAAAAAAAATGGCCAAATTTGTTTTTGGACACTTGGAATCGTGGAGAGGGGTAGCCCATCAGCAGAAGTGATTTTCTGTGTTTCCGGAAAATAAAAGCAAACGCCGAGTTTACGCTAGCCCTCGGAGTATTTATGAAGAATTTTTTTGTATGCGCTACATAGGCGGCCAATAAACTCGGGCTATAAGGGGGGAAATCGGTTCAACAACTTCGTGAGCTGGGCGTTTTTAACGTAGGCGTGTTATACGTTGCTCGTTTGACTCGCTACAACAACATACGATGTTCAGGTTTTTTACGTAGGCATGTTATACGTTGCTCGTTTGACTCGCTACAGCAACATACAATGTTCAGGTTTTTAACGTAGGCATGTTATACGTTGCTTGTTTGACTCGCTACAACAACATACAATGTTTAGGTTTTTAACGTAGGCATGTTATACGTTGCTCGTTTGACTCGCTACAGCAACATACAATGTTCAGGTTTTTAACGTAGGCATGTTATACGTTGCTCGTTTGACTCGCTACAACAACATACTATGTACACGATACAGGTTTTTAAACTAGGTTCTGTAGGCGAATCTAACCACAAACGTGATAATGACAGTTCCTTTCTTGCTAGTTTTTTTTTCAAATAATTTTAATGTCAAATTAAATCTAAATTTATTAGTTCAATTAGTTTGCTTTTGTTGGATTTTTTTTTGTTGAAAAAGTGATCCCAGGTATAAGGCTAACATAAAACAAATGTATAAACAATCAAATAGTCCATATACAACTTATAGTGACACATAAACCAATGTTCCCAACACTGTCTGGTCAGCAGATCAACCTAGCTGGCTACAGTTGCCTCTTCTAGTGGGGGTGCCCAAAACAAACAGAACTCACCAAAAAGTGTGCTGCGTGTGTTCGTGATCCCGTGGTATAGGCTAATGAATTGATAGGAAGCTACAGGATCGTTGCCGTGCAATTAAGTAGTCTGAAGGGCAAGGTTATCCTTATCGAGGAGTTTATGGGGAATCTTTCATCGGCGCGTCGTATCACAAGTTCACATTTGACCTTGCTTTCGCCTCAAGGTCGAGATATTATTTAACATTTTGTTCAATACATTTTGTGAGACAATACCTCCAATAGAACTTACCAATACATTTTGTGAGAGACAATACCTCCAATAGAAGTTACCAATACATTTTGTGAGAGACAATACCTCCAATAGAAGTTACCAATACATTTTGAGAGAGACAATACCTCCAATAGAAGTTACCAATACATTTTGTGAGAGACAATACCACCAATAGAAGTTACCAATACATTTTGTGAAAGACAATACCTCCAATAGAAGTTACCAATACATTTTGTGAGAGACAATACCACCAATAGAAGTTACCAATACATTTTGTGAGAGACAATACCTCCAATAGAAGTTACCAATACATTTTGTGAGAGACAATACCTCCAATAGAAGTTACCAATACATTTTGTGAGAGACAATACCTCCAATAGAAGTTACCAATCCATTTTGTGAGAGACAATACCTCCAATAGAAGTTACCAATACATTTTCTGAGTGACAGCATGGGGCCCAAATTTCAGATACCAATGATGGTTAAGGGAGCAGGCGAGACGATCATATGTGTAAGCACTGCTCTTCTTACATATATCATATAAACATACCCCCCAATGCCCTTCTGACATATATCAGATACACAGACACCGATGCTCTTCTTACATATATCATATACAGACCCCCGATGCTATAATTAAAGAAGTATCTCGTTCACTTCGCTATTCATGAATTCATTAGTTTATTTCGAATATAGAGTTAATTAGTTTATTACAAATTTGATCATTTAATTCTACAATTTTCATGTAATACGAATCTTGCATCTTTTTTTTCTACGTCCTAATTAACTGAATAACTGACAAGGTAAATATGAGATGTAATATCAAACGATAGGACGGGGGTTAGAATGTGCTGTTCTTGTATTGACCGTCCATATCAAGCGGGTAAAAAGTAAACCACATGGCCAGGTAAAGGTAGGAGATCACTTACACAACAGCCTGGGGAAATGGCCAACAAAACATGGTCAGTGTCTCAATAAAAAGTTCTGTCAATTCGAGTGGGTGGATGCAGCTAAACATTGAGAAAGTGAGGCATACAGAGAGAACCGTCCAAGTTTATATTTGAACGATGTTACAAAAAAGCTCCACTGAGGGGGTTAGTTAACCAATTGCTACAGGCGTCAATATCGACGATCTACACACGACGGGTTCATGCTAGTGTATCGCTGTAACACACGACAGTACACCACGTGTAAACACACGACAGTACACGGCCCACGTGTAAACACACGACAGTACACGGCCCACGTGTAAACACACGACAGTACACCACGTGTAAACACACGACAGTACACGGCCCACGTGTAAACACACGACAGTACACGGCTCACGTGTAAACACACGACAGTACACCACGTGTAAACACACGACAGTACACGGCCCACGTGTAAACACACGACAGTACACCACGTGTAAACACACGACAGTACACGGCCCACGTGTAAACACACGACAGTACACGGCCCACGTGTAAACACACGACAGTACACGGCTCACGTGTAAACACACGACAGTACACCACGTGTAAACACACGACAGTACACGGCTCACGTGTAAACACACGACAGTACACCACGTGTAAACACACGACAGTACACGGCCCACGTGTAAACACACGACAGTACACCACGTGTAAACACACGACAGTACACGGCCCACGTGTAAACACACGACAGTACACGGCCCACGTGTAAACACACGACAGTACACGGCCCACGTGTAAACACACGACAGTACACGGACCACGTGTAAACACACGACAGTACACGGCCCACGTCTAACCACACGACAGTACACCACGTGTAAACACACGACAGTACACGGCCCACGTGTAACCACACGACAGTACACGGCTCACGTGTAACCACACGACAGTACACGGCCCACGTGTAACCACACGACAGTACACGGCCCACGTGTAACCACACGACAGTACACGGCTCACGTGTAACCACACGACAGTACACGGTCCACGTGTAACCACACGACAGTACACGGCACACGTGTAAACACACGACAGTACACCACGTGTAAACACACGACAGTACACCACGTGTAACCACACGACAGTACACGGCCCATGTGTCAACACACGACAGTAAACGGCCCACGTGTAAACACGACAGTACACGGCTCGCGTGTAACCACACGACAGTACACGGCTCGCGTGTAACGACAGTACACGGTCCACGTGTAACCACACGACAGTACACGGCACACGTGTAAACACGACAGCACACGCCCGTGTCTCCAGGTTTACCCCAGCCACCCCAGGTTAATTTATCTCCCGCCACAGGAGCGCGTGCCGGGCAAGTCACGTGCGTCTCTTGTGTTACCAGATAGACAAATATCAATTTACTGGCTTTTGAGTGGAAATGGGAATGAAAAAAAAATCGATAATATGAATTATGAACTCCAGAGTTGCTGGTTGAGTTTCAAAGGTCTCCTCTTCTTTACAACAGTATTAGTTTAAGGGTCCCCCCCCCTTCCTCCCCTGCCCAGTCTGACTTCAACGAATATCATTCTATCCCTCCCCGCTAGTCAGCATTGCGAAAGTCGAACTAAAGCTATTGACGTGATCTGAGCAGCCGGGGTGAGAGATGAGGTTAGTAAATTTCCTGATCTACCAGGTCTTGATACATGGGCTCGTGTCAGGCATTAGCTGGCCCGTTGCCGTTTTTTATCAGGACTTATTAGGTTGTCGTGATTGCTTCTTCTCAAATTTGGTCAAGGAAATCATTCAACGGTGGATGGTTGCGCCGGTGTGTCAGATCATTCAATAGGTGTTAGAGGGGCATACATTGTATTTTTCTCAATACATGCCATGAAGGGTATGATAAAATACAGCTACTGGAGTCTCGGCTAGGGGTGGACGTGTAGACGGAATTCATCCAAAGGAGATGGTATGGCTATACTCAAACGTGGTGGTATAACTCTTTCAGACAAGATTAGGATGAATTAAGAATACATGGAACATATGAAGATAATAAAAAAAACAGTCTCTACGATGCAACTACAACATTCAAAGACCAAGATGGTACAACCACACACAACCTTAAGAGGGTTTTGAAGCTATAGCCATTCATTTAGAGAAAATGACGTAGCACGTTTTATTTCCAAAGATATATTTAAATGCGAAAAAAATTAGTTTTTAGTGCGAGAGATATAAAATGAATTTAAAAATTTCACAAGATTTGAGGTTCGTCTTATTCTTCTTACGGGGAAAACATAACTAGAACTAACGTGTAAGACAACACTAAGGTATTATATATAACTCACCTGCTCGAGTTGGAATTCATTCGGTACATTGAATTTGGTAGTCAAGGCAATTTGGAACAGTGGGAGCAGTAATCCCATGACGAATGCCACGCGCAGCTGGGTAGGGATACCCGTATACGTCATGTAAATAAAGAACACGGTGACCCAGACACCGTCCCCACCGTCGGGTATATCGCGGTCCAGGGTGATGGTGCAGACGACAGCGATGAGCAGGAAGAGAGACATGGAGCAGATGATCTGGAGCGAGGTGTACTGCAAGGTGATGCGATAGAGAAATATCTCCAGCACAGCGAACATAAGGATGACAATTCCCATGACCAGCCCGCGAATGAAGCCGGTCAGGCCGTTGATGTAGTAGAAAAAAATGAGGAGAGCGCAGATGATGACGCTAATGACTTGCATGTTGGACTGGGATGACTGGTCAACTTTGATGAAATATCTCCGGTAAAGATTTTCCAAGGTCCTGTCGCGGAACTTCTTACTGGTAAAGATGTGCAAGAGACGCGAGATGCGAAAGGATTTCCGGAAGTCGTAAGCGTTCTGTTCGTCATCTTGGTTGAGCGATTGGCGAGAGCCGCCGCCAGCGTGGATGCTGATGCGTCGCTCCTCGTTCCTCAACTCCTGGGTTTTCTGGGCGTATGCGTTGTCCCAGGCGGTGGCCGAGATTTTCTGGTTCGGTGCAGATTTTTTGTACATTTTTGAGCCTCTTCTTTCGTCACTAGACTCGAATCCCATTCCTCGCGCGGCGGCAGGTTTACATTCCTCCGTTGGCGTCCACAGGCAGCTCGAGCTTTAAGTTGAAGGCCTGTGAGGCCAGTTGACGGTAGCCCATCTTAGCATGGCTGCATCTCGAATCAAGCGCAATTACCTGCAATGATAGACATGCACATCAAAGAACATGTTCTTTTTACAGTCACATTATCATAATCATTGATCAAAATAAAGATGTTTTACAAAAGAGTTGATTTAAACAATTTTGACAATGGTGTCGGGGCGTATTGAGCACAATAGCTCAAGACTCGCATGCTTGAACGTTGTACTTCCACAGGCCTTTAATTGATGTACTAGCAAACAAAAGTGAAATGTTTTTATTATTCTTTGACTTAGCACACAAAGCAAAAGTTTAGCCGGCAAAAATATTTTAAAGGGTTGGTTTTTTTAAGAAGTTTTAAAGTGTAAAATCTACTTTCAACAGTAGTAAACAATGATATTTTCAAATTTAGAGGGTTGGGGCTTCAGGAGTAAGATGTGTGTCAGTATATTCAAGTGTGGGTTCTAATATCAAAGGCTAAGGATACACAGAACTATAAGCATGTATATAACAAACAATGTATACGACATTGTAGGAGTTGTGTTGCATGATATGGAAGTAAGTTGCTGTGTATGAAAGTACATGAGCAGTGTAAGCTGGCTTTCTACTGAAGTAAAGACCAATGTATGGCCCAGCCACTGATGTAAGAGGGAGTTGAAGCTTCACTGATCTGATATCCTGGCAACGATTACGTCGACGGCAACCCTCCCTAAACTTGAGCACAGCAGCAGGAAACTAAAAAAACTGATGTCAAGAAGGTGAGGGGGACCCGTGTGTGAAATTAAATATTTATAGAACAACGTTTTAGTTACACGTCCTCTTGCATGGATAAACACAAGCCCAACCCCCTCCACCTCCCCTCCCTACCCGCTCCCTTTATTGCCGGCATGATTGTGCTATTAATCCAAGCTATCCGCCCTAACCAAGGCTTCTGGGCCCAACGAGTTTGTTTTTGGTGGCGTTTCGGGAGGTCTTCACTGGGATTTTCATTCCGATCAGCAAACACGGATGCCATGTTTAAGGGGTTAATGCAGACCTGCACTCGATGTTACCTAGGTCAAGGATTTTGTTATATTACACTAGTCATATAACATAGACGTTTATTATAAGAGACTCGTTTTAAGATTAAAACATTGGTTTTTTTTTTTAAATAACAAACTAAGCACACTAATGTGGTAGCTATTGAGAATGAAGAGAGGAGGTGCATTTGATATGCGGTGAAATAAATAATGAACCAGGCACGGTCAGTAGGTACTTGCTTGAGAAGGCTGGGATCAGCAACGCCAAGAGTTTAATTGGGGAAACAAAACTACCATCTTATGGTGTCATCAAATCTAACTAAAGTTAAATTTGATTATAGGTATAGATGTTTGTTCACTCACACAATACAACAGTCTACAACTTGCTGATCCTCGTCTCAGTATTTCTATAAATAGGATTATTGTCAGTGCCAAGGGAGGTAGCTACAACAGAAGGTGTCTTTAAACATCGACACAATCTCTTTAGTTCCCTCTCTACATCTCGTGTCTTTAAACACCGACACAATCTCTTTAGTTCCCTCTCTACATCTCGTGTCTTTAAACACCGACACAATCTCTTTAGTTCCCTCTCTACATCTCGTGTCTTTAAACACCGACACAATCTCTTTAGTTCCCTCTCTACATCTCGTGTCTTTAAACACCGACACAATCTCTTTAGTTCCCTCTCTACATCTCGTGTCTTTAAACACCGACACAATCTCTTTAGTTCCCTCTCTATATCTCGTGGGATCAAGAAATTGAGACAAATTTAAACGCATGGTTCTTGTCTCAAAGGTTGTAATTGTTTGAGTAACTTTCTAAAGCACAAGGCGACCTTTATGTTAATCACGGTCAATATTTCCACACACAAAAAGATCGATTATAGGAGGAGACTGTTGTATGATCTGTACATTCTATATTGTAAACGATACAATAGTGTCATGGAAATTTGACACAACACAGACATGTAAAGTTAATGACAAAAAACAACTAGATATGACCTCGAGGTCGACCAACGATTGCTAATTTTAGGCTCTATCTCACCCTACCAACATTCGTTCACTTATCCCGCGTGGTGTTAACTTGGCCACGAGTCCCTCGTGGCTTCTATCTTCAAGAAAGTATTCTAAGTTACCATGTCCCCCATCACTGAGTTTACTGTTGTTAAAACCCTAACACTTTATCTATTCCTAAGTGTCACGATTAAACTTACCTTTTATGTCACCCTAGCATTATTATCCAGCTTACTTCAGTGTCACCCTAACACCATCATCCAGTTTACCTCAGTGTCATCCTAACACCATCATCCAGCTTACCTCAGTGTCACCCTAACACCATCACCGGCTTACCTCAGTGTCACCCTAACACCATCACCAGCTTACCTCAGTGTCACCCTAGCACCATCACCAGCTTACCTCACTGTCACCCTAGCACCATCATCAGCTTACTTCAGTGTCACCCTAACACCATCACCAGCTTACCTCACTGTCACCCTAGCACCATCATCAGCTTACCTCAGTGTCACCCTAGCTTACCTGTCTCTGCTTTAAACCACAACGTCTCCTTAACCCAACTGGCCAATACAAACGGGCATCTAGCGAGAGTTCCTGACTGATTAACTACACCAGGAGTGGCACGTGATCCCCAGATTAAAAACAACACAAGAAATCATTTCCCCGTTCCGCACACACAACTGGTATTTTATAGCGAAAAAAAAAACGATCGTGTTTCAATCGATCTGTTCTAAAAATAGAAGTGGATAAATATTTGTGGAAATGTAACGTACACACTGGTGAACACATGTCCAACCAGGATGTGTACCAACACGTGTTCGTCTAAAGGTGAGGCGGAACAGAAGCAACAAGACGTGGGGAGGGGGGTGTATGTCATTAGGAGCTACATAAAACATTGTAGTCGTCACATATGTGCTGACTGCATACAAACTGCTCCTTCCTGTTTTATCATGTGTTTTGTTGGACTAGCATAGAGAGACTGATGACTTCAAATTTTAGCCACATTTGTATGAATGGCCAGTAGCTAAAAACATTTAACCGAGTCTAAAGTTTGAACAATGTTTTGTGACGTTTTAGTTACAGAATCAGTTAATTAAACAGTGATAGACGTTCTATTCTGTTCTAGTAAACTGACGGGGTACACAGTAGAAATGTCCGTTCTGTTCTAGTAGACTGACGGGGTACACAGTAGGAATGTCCGTTCTGTTCTAGTAGACTGACGGGGTACACAGTAGGAATGTCCGTTCTGTTCTAGTAGACTGACGGGGTACACAGTAGGAATGTCCGTTCTGTTCTAGTAGACTGACGGGGTACACAGTAGGAATGTCCGTTCTGTTCTAGTAGACTGACGGGGTACACAGTAGGAATGTCCGTTCTGTTCTAGTAGACTGACGCTCTGTTCTAGTAGACTGACGGGGTACACAGTAGGAATGTCCGTTCTGTTCTAGTAGACTGACGGGGTACACAGTAGGAATGTCCGTTCTGTTCTAGTAGACTGACGGGGTACACAGTAGGAATGTCCGTTCTGTTCTAGTAGACTGACGGGGTACACAGTAGGAATGTCCGTTCTGTTCTAGTAGACTGACGGGGTACACAGTAGGAATGTCCGTTCTGTTCTAGTAGACTGACGGGGTACACAGTAGGAATGTCCGTTCTGTTCTAGTAAACTGACGCTCTGTTCTAGTAGGCTGACGGGGTACACAGTAGGAATGTCCGTTCTGTTCTAGTAGACTGACGCTCTGTTCTAGTAGACTGACGGGGTACACAGTAGGAATGTCCGTTCTGTTCTAGTAGACTGACGGGGTACACAGTAGGAATGTCCGTTCTGTTCTAGTAAACTGACGCTCTGTTCTAGTAGACTGACGGGGTACACAGTAGGAATGTCCGTTCTGTTCTAGTAGACTGACGGGGTACACAGTAGGAATGTCCGTTCTGTTCTAGTAAACTGACGGGGTACACAGTAGGAATGTCCGTTCTGTTCTAGTAGACTGACGGGGTACACAGTAGGAATGTCCGTTCTGTTCTAGTAAACTGACGGGGTACACAGTAGGAATGTCCGTTCTGTTCTAGTAGACTGACGGGGTACACAGTAGGAATGTCCGTTCTGTTCTAGTAGACTGACGGGGTACACAGTAGGAATGTCCGTTCTGTTCTAGTAGACTGACGCTCTGTTCTAGTAGACTGACGGGGTACACAGTAGGAATGTCCGTTCTGTTCTAGTAGACTGACGGGGTACACAGTAGGAATGTCCGTTCTGTTCTAGTAGACTGACGCTCTGTTCTAGTAGACTGACGGGGTACACAGTAGAAATGTCCGTTCTGTTCTAGTAAACTGACGGGGTACACAGTAGGAATGTCCGTTCTGTTCTAGTAGACTGACGGGGTACACAGTAGGAATGTCCGTTCTGTTCTAGTAGACTGACGCTCTGTTCTAGTAGACTGACGGGGTACACAGTAGGAATGTCCGTTCTGTTCTAGTAGACTGACGCTCTGTTCTAGTAGACTGACGGGGTACACAGTAGGAATGTCCGTTCTGTTCTAGTAGACTGACGGGGTACACAGTAGGAATGTCCGTTCTGTTCTAGTAGACTGACGGGGTACACAGTAGGAATGTCCGTTCTGTTCTAGTAGACTGACGCTCTGTTCTAGTAGACTGACGGGGTACACAGTAGGAATGTCCGTTCTGTTCTAGTAGACTGACGCTCTGTTCTAGTAGACTGACGGGGTACACAGTAGGAATGTCCGTTCTGTTCTAGTAGACTGACGGGGTACACAGTAGGAATGTCCGTTCTGTTCTAGTAGACTGACGGGGTACACAGTAGGAACGTCCGTTCTGTTCTAGTAGACTGACCGGGTACACAGTAGGAATGTCCGTTCTGTTCTAGTAGACTGACGGGGTACACAGTAGGAATGTCCGTTCTGTTCTAGTAGACTGACGCTCTGTTCTAGTAGACTGACGGGGTACACAGTAGGAATGTCCGTTCTGTTCTAGTAGACTGACGGGGTACACAGTAGGAATGTCCGTT